ACACACACACACACACACACACACACACACACACACACACACACACACACACACACACACACAGAGACACACACACAGACACACTCACTCACACACACACACACAGACAGAGACACTCACACACACACACACACACACACACAGAGACACACACACACACACACTCACTCACACACACACACACAGACAGAGACACTCACACACACACTCACTCACTCACACACACACAGACAGAGACACACACACACACACACACACACACACACTCACTCACTCACAGAGACACTCTCACGCATGCACGCACACTCACTCACAGAGACACTCACTCACGCACACACACACACACACACACACGCTTCCTCTGGAGATCAGCTGCTTCCTGTCACATGTCTGGTGTGGGAATGTTCGCCGTCACTGAGACAGACGTCCACATTATCGGCTCTTGTTCTTCTTGGAGTTTCCCTGCAAGAGTTCAGCAAAACAGAGTTCAGATTTCACTCAATGCCTCATTCAAACATCAGATTTAGCAAAGTTTCATTATTACAGACGAGTCTTTTAATCAAAACCGTGTTTCTATTAGGGCTGGGTATTGACACAATTTTCACGACTGCAATTCAATCGGATTCTGATTTGATTCAATATCGATTTTGGATTTATATCAGGTACAGTACACCTCAACTAATGCTGTAAATTATACAGTAGTCAGTTGGTACTACATTACTATAATATTGAAGGTTCAAATTAACTGATTCGTACACAAACACTTAAATTAGACTCAATTACTTTTTTATAATAAAGTTATAAAACAAACTATACAATTACACAGTTATATTTCTACTCCAATTAGTTTTTTGAAATAATACATTTTTAAATGGTAGTTGACAGATTTGTTAAAATAAAAAAAACGAAATATTGAAGAACAGTAAAACTAATAAAGTAAAAATAATGAATATATTATATGGTGCATTCAGCCAAATGCTCCTCTCTAAAGTGGATTTTCTAGCTGACTAAAGTCACTGAATGTTTTTCCTGAGTTAAATGTGACGTTACGTGACATGTTTAAAAAGCTGTTATATTGACGTATTTCCGTGGATGAAACTGATTGAGGGATTATATGAGACAGGATACGGATTTCGGTACGTTGTTTCTTTTAATACCTTCAGATGTTCATTCATGTTTATTTTGTGCTGTAACTGGTACTAAAGCGAAGTCATCGATCTGTTCGCGTGCACCTCGCGCTGCCACTTCTGTTGAACTGCGGCGCTACAGCGATCGGTCACTCCGCATTAAACGTTAGCTTACTCGTGTAACCCCGGTTCTCTGATAACATCCGTTTGGGATCTCACTATGGGAATGCCTCAGCGGTGACCGAACAATTACAGCATGGTTGTCAGACCAATCTCTGGTATATAACCCACGGCATCATTCTCCGCATATCTTCTGCACTGTGCAGACTGCAAGAAGAGTGGTGAGCGGAGATACCTCACTTCTGACATATAAAAATGTGAGAATGACCTGAATGAAGTGTATTAAATATCACTCCAAGCACTAAATCAGCCAGAGATGACCGTCACATCAAATCTGTAATATCTCACAAATGTGCGCGGTGACACCCAGCGAACAGAAACTCTCCTGATCAGAGCCCAGGAAGTAGCCATTCCTCTCGTGGAGTGGGCGTGAAGTCCCGGTGGAGGCTGCAAATTTGTTTCTTTGTCACACATTACAAACGCATTTACCATCACTGACATGAAATAGGTCTCTCTCTGCAATTATCAGCCCAAGAGACGAGTGTAATCACTCTTCCTCTGATGAAGAAAACACTAACAATTCCACCAATATGATTGCTTCTGTTGTGTCCCTGACCTTAGGAACGAAAGCCGGATTAGTTCTTAGAGTAACTTTCGATCTGAAAAACGAAGAGGGGGGTCCCCACTCGAGATGAGGCGAGTTAGAAGGGAGGATGGCATCCCCCTGATAATTAGGTTTACCCCCAGAGCAGCGGTATGCAGTGTAATTTTCTTTGAAATATAAATGACTATTTCCCTGTATACAAACTAAAATGTATCTGATCGGAAAATCAGGGTGCTTATTCCCGTGTGAATATTTCCGAATGGAAAAACGGATGGACGTCAGAAAGAGAATGCCATTTGAGTATTGTAGAAAAAAATGGACAGAATTTGAAATCTAAGACCTTGTTTCATATGAAAGTAGCAAAGCTTATTGTCATTTACTGGATGTGAGACACGCTACAATGTTCTGTTCATTAACTGAAAACAGGCTAGACTAATCGATTCTTGGGAATCAATATCGTTTCACAAAAAAAAAATCTATATTTTTTACCCAGCCCTAGTTTCTATACTGAAAAGCAGCAGCAATATATTGTCTGTTTGTGAAGAGGTAAAGGGACCGTTCAGCCAAAAATGATCATTGTGTCATCACTGGCTCGTGAGTTTCTCTCTTCTGCTGAACACAACACAACATGGCTAATCACACAGATGATGGTCCCTATTGACTTACATAGTCTTTTTTTTTACCATACTATGGAAGTTACTGGCTACCAGCAACTGCTTGGTTACCCACATTCTTCAAAATATATTTTTGTGTTGAACAGAAGAAAGAACATTATGACAGAATGATGATTTTGGGCTAAACTATCCCTTTAACCATGTCAGTGTGACAACTAGAAATAATACCTCAAATTAATAAATAATAACAAATTATACAACTACTGAAAGTATATCCAACTTTACCTGCATACACACAGTATATTCACATAAAGCGATATATACTACACAGCCAATCTCAACTGCATGATTTCTTATTTCATCTCAAAACTATAATATTACCCAGCAATGTATTAAACATTCAGTCAAATATGGATGCTGGAGTCTTAAATCTTTAAACAGAGGCTAAACAAACGAGCGCGTCTGTCGTGATGGGTTGAGATGTAGCTTGCTTCCAGTCTGATAATGTGGAGGAGGTAGAAAATTAATCATTTTGGCAACTGGTTTCAGCAAATTCTCCAGTGAGGAGGAAACTGAGGTCTGAAGCAGTATTTTATAGTACAATGACCTCGTACACATCTAAAGATCACAGCAAATCACTGGTGGACACTGGAAAAAAACATTTTGACAAATCTAGCAACTCACATTTTAACAAAATCACAGCAGCTGAACAGCTAAAAATGTTTAGCTAAAAGAGTTTATTTCCTCTAACATCTGCATTCGTTTCCACTCAGCAATGCCTCTGCAGAGTTTTAAACTGAAGTTCACTCTCTGATGAGCAGCAGCGCCTGGCTGTGAGCGCTAGCGCGGGGGTCTGACCTTGCAGGCGAGCTTGAGCGAGTCGATCTGGTCGCGCTGCTTGCTGAGCGTGTCGTTCATGCTGCACAGGTGATCGCTCATCATGCTCAGCTGGTCTTCATAGCTCCTCTTGGTGGTGCTGAGCTCGTCCTGAAGCACAGCAGAGCGTGTCAGCCAAACACAACACCACACACGGAGTCAGGAGAGCGCTGCTCTAGCCGTACCTGTAAGCGCGTGGTGTTCTGATGAGCCAGCTTCAGCTCCTCCGTCAGCGTCTCGCGGGACTTCTCTGCCATCGCCAGGCGTTTGGCCACAGCTCGACACTGGAAGAGACATGATGATCACGTCAAATAAAGCTGCATGTGCTGAAGCGTTTACTGTTTCACGACAAGCTCTGGACATCATTAGACAACACGACAGCAGTCAGTCAAAGCATGGCTAGTAACTGCACATTCTCTGTGTGACTGAATGGCATGGTTTTGTCTGATACACAAACTCTTTTCAGCGTCTGTGTCTCAATACATGAACACACAAACATCATCTCCAGAGCTACTCTGAGAGTCACTTCAGTAGCTTCACACTAGTGATGGGTCGTTCATTTTGAACGAATCTTTAATGTGACTCGGGAAGAACGAGTCGTCTCGGGGAGTGATTCGTTCAGTCGCACATGCGCAGCATCCTATAGGTTCTGTCCTGGAATTAGTCCAGTAGTTCACCGGTTTCGAGTCTTCGGGTTTGAGTCGTTCGTTCATCACGTGACAGCCCCATACACTTTAACCAATGCAGTCTGAGCCGGAAAGAGACTTAATAATAATAATAACCAGCTCTTTATTACCTTTGTTACAACATTCAGTGTTATGGAAAAGAACCATAATGACAGAAACTCACACATTTAGAAACTGTAAGAAGTAAAAAGCTACAATTTGAGACCAGAAACGCATAACTTAACTGTAGGAGTAAATAATAATTATAATAATGATGATAATAATAATAATAACTATGCACTCGTTTGTAAGGAAGTTTGTAAATGAACTAATTTCTCTATCCAATGCTGTCACGTCACGTGACAAAAGAACGAATGATCGAAAGACTCGAGAGATGAACTAATCAATTCTCTTTCCGGCTCAGACTGCACTGGTTAAGTTTATGGGGCGGTCACGTGATGAAGGAACGACTCAAACCCGAAGACTCGAGAGATAAGAGCTGAGGCGAGCTAATCATAGACTGAAAGACAAGCCACACAACCCCTCAAAATAAAAGTCTGGTTTAACGTGAAGAAATTATGACAGAAATACACTACTATTGTATACTAAAACGTACTTCTAAAAGAAGTGGCAAAAACATTAATATTTCTAGGGAATATCATACAACCAAGATTTTCTTTCATCCATGTTTTAATTTTTACACTTCTGTTGTGCCTCAAATGCAATGTTTTTTGTAAATTAATTGTTCACATTTTATAAGATCAATGGAATTAAGTTTTATTAATTTATTTAATTAATTTCACCTTCTTTTTTTTTTTTTGATAAACTGTATTGTATTGAATTATAAAATCCAGGAAAACAATAAAAGGAAAACCAGAATTTAGGGGAAAATAAAATAAAATGTAATGGGGCCTTATATCAAAATGAAACTTACTCGAAGTTTAACTGTGAACAAAAAGTTTTTGTTTTTGTAAATACTGATATCATATGTAAAAAAAAACATTATAATATGTTTGGCCATATCACCCAGCCCAGACTCTGACAACAACTACTGTACATTGATAATAGTTCACTCTTATTTAAAAATAAGAACAAAACTGACCAGTATTTAAGTCTCTTAATTGTCTTTGACAGCTCAGTCATTTACTCGAGCCACTGCAGCACTGATATATGAGCACAATATAAACTGTATAAACAATATAAACACAATGTAAAAAAAATACATCTAGATCTAAAACCAGACGATTTTTGATATCCAGAGGATATCAGTGTTATATATATCATCATATTACCCAGCTCTAAAACTGCAGAGAAACTGTACATGACCAAGTGTGTTTTCAAAGGAACATAATCGAGGTCAGCGTGTCGGTCAGAGGTCAGCGTGTCGGTCAGAGGTCAGCGTGTCGGTCAGAGGTCAGCGTGTCGGTCAGAGGTCAGCGTGTCGGTCAGAGGTCAGCGTGTCGGTCAGAGGTCAGCGTGTCGGTCAGAGGTCAGCGTGTCGGTCAGAGGTCAGCGTGTCGGTCAGAGGTCAGCGTGTCGGTCAGAGGTCAGCGTGTCGGTCAGAGGTCAGCGTGTCGGTCAGAGGTCAGCGTGTCGGTCAGAGGTCAGCGTGTCGGTCAGAGGTCAGCGTGTCGGTCAGAGGTCAGCGTGTCGGTCAGAGGTCAGCGTGTCGGTCAGAGGTCAGCGTGTCGGTCAGAGTGTCGGTCAGAGGTCAGCGTGTCGGTCAGAGGTCAGCGTGTCGGTCAGAGTGTCGGTCAGAGGTCAGCGTGTCGGTCAGAGGTCAGCGTGTCGGTCAGAGTGTCGGTCAGAGGTCAGCGGGTCGGTCAGAGGTCAGCGTGTCTATCAGAGTGTCGATCAGAGGTCAGCGTGTCGATCAGAGTGTTGATCAGAGGTCAGTGTGTCGATCAGAGGTCAGCGTGTCGATCAGAG